TAGCTCTGGCCAGCATGCGACACCACACTGGTCTCAGAGAAACTGCAGAGATAGCAACAGCTGCCTGGATTGACGGTGGTTTGATAACACCTGATGATGTTCACCTGGTGATAGATCATAACAAAGTAAGGAGAGCTCAGGAGAAACTTGTCAGTAACCTAGAAGAGGAGTTTGATAAGGGGATAAGAGAAAATGGAATCAATTGTTTGTTCTTTGATGGGAGAAGGGATGACACTAAAGTGTTCATGAAAGTTGGAGATTCTGACAAGTTGTTCCCTGCCATGGTGAAGGAGGAACACTACTCCTGCTGCAGTGAACCAGGAGGGAAGTATTTGTGGCATTTCACTCCAGAGAAAGATGACATCAGGAAACCAGCTGAGATAGTGGCAGATAACATTGTGAACTGGCTCAGAGAGAGGAACGTAGACCAGACCCTGCAGGCCATTGGAGGGGACAGCACCAACACGAACACAGGGTGGCAAGGGGGGGTCATACAGTGGATAGAGCGGAAGATTGGGAGGAAGCTGGTCTGGATTGTTTGTGACCTCCACACCAACGAGTTGCCACTCAGACATCTGATCCAGGAGCTGGATGGCAAGACTCTTTCAAACAACAGATGGTCTGGTCCTCTTGGCAAGATGCTGGACTCTGCCACTGAGTTAGGAATAAATCCGAGCTTTGAAAAAATCACAGTTGGCCCTCCACTCGTTGAGCTTGCACATACTGTCATTGACGACCTGAGTGCTGACCAGTACTATGGTTACATGATTTGCAGTGCCATCAAAACTGGGGTCATGCCTGATAGACTTGCTTACCTGCAGATAGGTCCACTCTCACATTCTAGGTGGCTCACAACGGCTCTCAGGTTCTGCAGAATTTGGGTCGCTCATCATAAACTGAAAGGGAACCAGCTTCACAACCTGAGACTTATTGTCCAATTCATCGTGAGTGTCTACTTGCCAAATTGGTTCAACACCAAGGTCAAGTCATCGTTCTCCGAAGGTCCGAGGCATGTTCTCTTCCAGCTTGAGCTCCTGAGGAGTCAGCCAAGGAAGGTTGTTCAGATTGTGGAGCAGACTGTGAGGAGATCTTCCTGGTATGCTCATCCCGAGGCAGTTCTGCAGACAATGCTCTGCAGTAAGGATGAGGAGGAGAGAAGAGTGGCAGTCAAAAAGATCTTGGATATGAGACTTATGAGAGGATCTGGGCATGACGAATCCGTTGGTGACGATTCCTTCAGGGTCAGGAAGACTCCTGAAGTCAATCTAGGTGCCAAGACCCTCACTGATCTCATAGATCTGGATAACATCCAGGCTGGCAGTGAGCCCCTTCTTACCTGCAGCCTCACCAATGTTCAAGTCAGAGCTTTCCTGGACAACCCCATGCATGTCCCTGCCTGGCCCTCGCACACCCAGAGTATAGAGCGTTGTGTACAGCAAGTGATCGAGGCCAGCAGTCACGTGTACAGCCAGGAGAGGAGGGAAGGCTACATCCGAGCTCAGGTGGTCAGCAGGGAGGTGATGAGTAGAAACAGAAGCAAGAAAGACATGTTCTCTATGGTGTGCAGCAACACCGGGTCGTAGTAGTAAAACCGGTTTTTGTATTTGATGATTTTGTTTTCTAAAGGAATATTAAATTTAATAAATGTGTCAAGATCATTCGTTTCACTATTCTGGATCATTTTCATCCTAATAAATTAACCTGATACATTTACTTTGCTTTAAATAAGCTATTTAGTGGTGTTGGTAAAAGGGTGGGAATACTGAATTTTCATAAGATTTCAAGTTAAAATTTACCTAGCAAAAAATGAAAACTTTTCAAATCTGAAGATATCACATGATTCTGCACATAGAACTACATCATTAATACCATGGGCCGATTTTTCAAACTCAAAAAAAAAAATCGCCTCCGTATGACACACCCTAATGTGGTATTGTTATTAGGGAATTTTTTGAATATGGTATTAGTGTTGAAGAAAGAATATCCAAGAGAAGTGGGGATAGAAGTCCCAGCACCACTGCTGAACTTTATGCTATATATGTGGGACTTAAGAATGCCTTTGTGAGGAAAAAGACAGTTTTTGGGTTTGTTGACAGTCAAAGTGCTCTATTTGCTCTAAATTCTAAAGTGCCTCATTATGATGAGTTAGTTTTAAAATGTAAGATGTGTATTCATGACATAAAATCACTTGGATATGATGTTAGTTTTATGTGGATTCCATCCCATTGTGGTATTTATATGAATGAGGTTGCTGATGATTTGGCTAAGCAAGTGTGTGGCAAAGAAATTGTATAATACGATTGTTTTTTTGGGTATTAAAAGAATAAAATCTGGAATGGTAAAAATCCGACAGCAATGGGAAATGGACAATATTCGGAAAATTTTGAACAACGGCAGTAGTAGTTTGAAACATTATGTTCGAGTTTTGAATTATACAAGGTCTACTTATGGTAAGGCTTCGGTTAAGTATGATACATTGTGATGAGACTACGCTTTGGATACAAATATTATTGGCAATATATTGAAGGAACTGATGGCATTCCTTGTAAACTGTGTGGCTATGTAAAGTCTCATACATTATATCATTACATTATGGAATGTAACTGTTTATCAGAATTTAGGGGTGATGGTATTACTGATATTACAGAGATGGTGTGTTATTTAATAAAAAAAAAATATGGTTAAGAAAATTATGAAAAAATTATGCACGTTTAACATAAGATTGTAGATTTTATGCATATCTATTTGTATAAAGAGTTCTTGTTAAGACTAGTTTTGGGAGGGCTAGTTAGCATGCTAACCAGCTCCTTTTGATGTAATTATCAATAAATGTTTTGAATTTGAATTTGAACTAGTGACTCTGGTTTACCTAACCCTGCCTATTACCCGTGATCCTTCCACACAACAACAAAAGCGTAAATGAAAACCTAAAACATAAATGTAAAGTTCAGTAATTCTTGCACTGTGATACAAATGTTAAATTCACAACTCCCCCAGCTATGCAGGTGGCTACATTTACAAGGTTCCTTGGAAGGAATGTAATATGTTCTACTTAGGTCAAATGGGCAAAGATCTTATAAATAGACTTAAACAGCATAAATATAGTGTTAGGATGGGTCATCGCATTGTAATTGAATTGTCAGTAAGAACATTATAGAATCTAGTCTCATTATACATACCGAATCTGTCAACATGAATTTGAGTAATGGTATGTACAAATTGGACAATGACCTGAATATGGTGGGCACCTGCTGTCCCTAGAGACTTGATCTCTCTCTCATTTACTGTATATATTAGCCTTGTCAGTAACTACTACTTAGTCTGTACTCACCCCTGAAGACGTGAATTACACGAAAGCGCTTGATAACCTCGTGTTTTCTGGTTTCCTTTTTTGGTTATCAGCATATACTAAAGTGTATTTTCGTGTATAAGAGTTTACGAGAGCGTATTTAACTATTTGTTGACGGCACTAAAATAGCTCTTGCAATGACGAGAACTCCGCATAAGTACAGGAAGATCTTAACGATTTTTTCTTATGGTCTGAAAAATGGCAGACGAAATGTAATGTGAAAAATATATAGTACTTAGCCTATAAAATTATCTTTTGGGGGATAACCTTATTAACATTAATAGGTATACAGCCAAAGCAGGACAAAAGGAGGAGACTTTGGTGGATTTGATTTTCGGTAGGGTAAGGTGTAAGGGCGGAAACGATCTTCCTGCTCGTTACCGCTGCTCACTCGCTCGTTTGCTGGCGCGACCCCCACTTGGGGGGGTTGGACGGAGGTGAGAACGTCGCTGCTACCAGTGTCACCGGCTCAGATTCACCACAGCCACTACCCAGATGTTCATTCAAATTCTGGTTGTGATCTCATCGAAGGTTCTGGACTCATGGGCTGTGTCCCCAGACCTTCACCTATCGACTGTCAATCCCTGGACCCCATACCACTACCGCAGCTGCCACAACCGTCAGTTCACCTCCTCCGTCTGTGCCCCACTGTCTCTCCCACGGGAGCAAGACATCGGCCACTGTCGCTCGAGTGGATCACTGCGTTCTAGAACCTTCCCCAGGGCTGCTGCCGTAGGAAATATCTGTTCATTGTTTGATTCTATTGTTGTTTGATTTCATTAATTGCTGACTCCCTTTTATTGTTGATTCTATCAGTTGTTGACTTCCCTTAATTGTTTGATTCCATTAATTGTTTGATTCCATTAATTGTTTGATTCCATTAATTGTTTGATTCCATTAATTGTTTGACTGCATTAATTGATAGACTCCCGTAATTGTTATTTCATGTTGTTGAGCGGTGTCAGAGTTTTGTGTTATATTTTTTTTAGTAAAGAGATGTCAATCTCAAACGGTTGTTTGTTAATCCTCAGAAAACCATGGTCCTTGACTTTCCTTTTATAAGATCCTGATTAGGCTGGGAAGAGATTTCTGTCCCTAAGTCCCAGGGTTAGATGATAATTTTTTTTTTTATTGGGCACCCCCCCCCCCCTCTACATCCTTGTGTAAGGTAAAGCGCAGAAGCGTTTACAGCGCCCAACAGGGAAGCATGCTAAGTTCATGCTTGCCTTATGTCTCATGAGTTGAGGGCATAGAAGCCTGAAGAGTCAATGGTTTATGTCTAAATAAGTTATTGGAAGCTCCAACAACTTGTCCCTGAATACGAATTCGCAACTTTCGATTTACAGCAGGTACCTACCTTGCTGCTAGGTGAACAGGGACCAAGGGGACTAGGAAGAGTGTCCAAACAACTTTCGCTGGCCCGGGAATCGAACCCGTGACATCTTGCTTGCGAGGCAAGAGCGGTACCGCTTTACCACCAGCGCCCTGTTAGATGATCATGATAAAATGGTTTCCCCCCAAATGTATGATAATCCTCCTATTAACTATCAATTTTCATATCCAGATTTTATGATTTTTCGAAGATAAACAGAATGATATATCATGATTAAGGGCAGATTACTGTATAAATGTCGGGATTTAAACAACTCACCGGTAATTAAAGAGTAGGAGAAGAAGAGAAATTCTGCTGACGGTGAGAAAGCTGACATAATGATTGAAGACGAAACCAGAAACACTCCCAGATAACCTATTCTTCTCCAACCAAACTCCTTTGTCAGGGGTCGGAGCAGAGGGCCTATGAGGTGCCAAATAAGCCACATAATGTTGTATATCCAGCCGGTGATGGCAGACGACGTGCCCAGCTCCAGCAAATATCCAGAGAAGAGGACTCCAAAGCACTGACCAAGAGATAGGAACAGCATCTGCGGGAGAAACATACAGTTATAACAAACGCTGACCTCCTAATGCGATCAAACCTCTCCAAGTGTACTATTTTCCCTGGTTAAGAGATTCATTTCAGGCCCTGGGTAAGAGGATAATTTGGGATGATGGATAAGAAAGTAATATCGACTCTTGGGTAAGAGCATCATTTGGGGCCCATGGTAGGTTTGAATTTGATATTATTTAAGCTACTCGGGCATTTTTTATTCAGTTTTCCGGTTCCAAGTCAATTTAATTCCAGGTGAACCCAACCTATGTCAACTCAACCTCTGTCAAATCAACCAACTATGAACTCAATCCCTTGTCAACTCAATCCCCTGTTAACCTAGCCCCTGTCAACTCAACCCCTGTCAACTCAACCTTCTGTCAACTCAATCCCTGTCAATTCAAACCTCTGCCAACTCAATCCCTGTCAACTGAACCTTGCCCTAATTTCTCAGCACTTCCCTGTAGAAAATAGCATTTCAATAATTTCAGGCTAAAAACAGTTTGTAAAGAATACCCTACTAACAAAGAGTTTTGAATGTTCACTGATAATAATACTCTGCCAGCATTTCCCTGTGAAAATATTTCCTGGTTAAAAACTGTATGCCAACAGTTCCTTGCCAATTTTTCTCTGCTAATACACTGGACTAACACTTCCATGTGAAAAACAGTATGCTAATTTATCGTTGCTTATAGCAATTCATTGTCTGTCAGATATTCTCTATCATTCGATAATACTCCAACAGTTTCCTGCTTAAAAAGTGGAGCAAGTCTTCTCTGTTGACAAATTGTACTAAAGCTTCCCTGCTAACAAATGTCTACTAAATCTTCCCTCCTAACAGGAGTTTATCAAAGCTTCACTGCTAAAAAAGTTAAATAAAGCTTCCCTGCAAACAAAAGTGTACTTAAGCTTCCCAGCTAATAAAAGTGTTCCAAAGAGCCCCAGCTAAAACAGTACAAAAGAATTAGCACAAACAAAATGTAGGAAGAATCTACTAAAAAAGTTGTACTCAAAGCATGCCTACTAACTAAGGACCCCTTGCTAAAAAAAAATTAATTAAGCTTCCCCGTTAACGAAGTAAACTGACGCTTCCCCAGTAACAAAAGAGTGCTAAGGCTTCCCCACTAAGAAGTTTACTGGAATTTCCATGTAAAAAAAAAGGTTTACAAAATCTTCCTCACTAACGAAAGAGTATTAGAGCGTCCCTGCTAAAAAAACGTGTACTAGAGTTTCAAGCTAGCAAAAGTGTATAAAAGCTTCCGTGCTAATAAAGGTCTAATAAAGCTTCCGAGCAACCAACACCTTACTAATGCTCTCTTGCTAAAAAGTGTATTAAAGCTTCCCCATTAACAAAAGTGTACTAAAGCTTCTTCACTAATAAAAGTGTACTAAAGCTTCCCCATTAACAAGAGTGTACTAAAAATTTTCCGCTTACAAAAGTGTACTAAAACTCTCCCACTAATAATCCAGTCAAATTGGCTCGAAAATAGGCAATTGGTGGAAAAAATTTTATTAATATGAAATTTGGCATACATACTCCTAAAGGCTATAGAAATCATGATCAAAAGAGTTCCCCTCCGTCCGGGGGGAGCATCCCCTTTTTTTTGGCCCCAAACGGCCCCCAAAGAGGAGGGTTCCGCTTACTTTTTTGCATTTTTCAGCTAAACTATATATCAAACGAAAATAGTTTTTAGATACAAAAATACTGGAAATATAATCATAAACAAGATTATTTCTATTCAATTTTCCCATAGGTGTTAGAGTTTTTGTGTAATCGACGTTTGAATTCGGGGAAAGTTTTTCGCGTGTAGTGAAACAAATTGATACTCGCGCAAGGTTTTCGGCAGTTAACTAAAAAAAAAGTCTAGTGTTTCACTAAAAATGCATGTATTTAAACTTATAGAGCAGAAAATTCTATATTCGAATATATGACAATCGTATTTCTGTAATTTTTTGAAGCTTTTCCTTAGTCACTCATTTTTTTTTCAGGTATGAATTAGAAAACTACTGTGTTACATGACTGAAACTACTTGGCATACGATCACTCGCGGAAGAGGCTTCACAGAGAGTGTTCTGAATAAATGGATCTTTGGTTTGCCAGTAGCTCATCACGTATGCGAGAATGTGGAAGAGTTTTGTGTGATTCAGACCAGCAGTAGTTTTCAGTATATCGAACTGAGAGATCCAAGGATGAAGAAGGACGAAAAGGATCTTCAGAAGTTTGTTGTATGGCTTCAACAGCATTCTCCTCCACTCATCAATACAGAAGACCTCGTTTCGTTGTCCAGTGGTCTGGTTGCAACTGAAAAAATAAACTGCTACAAAACTCTAGATGTTGGCAATAAATTGACGGATGGAACCATTAAAGGCAAAAACACTTTTAGAGTTATGAAGATAAAGCGCACCAAAAGAGTGAAAGCCAATTTCTTACATGAATGCAAGTGTCAGCATCGCTGATGATAACACTCAGCTACTTCAAAGAATAATATGCATTGTAAAACTGTTTCAGTCATGAATTGGCTTCATTCCCGCTCTCCATATTTGACTAAACAGGTTTGACAAGAAAGACGAAGAAATCGCCTTTGTATGACATTTTCCATACTGTAGAAGAACGAGTAGTTGAATTATCAGGATGCAAATATATCATTGATGGAGGGAATTTAGTCCATCGTATAGTTTGGCCAAAGCAAGCCACAGTTGCGGACGTTCATGCTGCTTATGTCCAGTTCATTAGAAAACATTATGGTGAAGATGCAACTGTAATATATGATGGTTATTCAACAAATGAAATTAGTACAAAGAGTATCGAGCATCAAAAAAGACTTTTGAAACGAACTTCAGCTGAAATCTTGTTCGATGAGAATACAGCTCTAACTGTACCTAAGGACAAATTCTTGATTAATCTAAAACAAAAAACAACGAGCTTCTAATTATACAACTGAAACAGATTTGAGAAAGAAGGTATTGAGACACATATTGCCACAGATGATGCTGATGTACTAATTGTTCAAAGTGCTATCAATGGATCTTATCAGCATAACTCCATTGTTGGCAGGATGTAGATCTTCTAGCTCTGTTTATTGAGCCTACTCCAGAAGACAGGATATTATATTTTTTAAAAGAAGCCCACGGAAACCTTAGGGCAAGATTTTATAGTTCTCGAGATTTACAGCGCTCCAATATTCTAAAGAACTGCAAAGAATCAGTTTTCGTAGCTCATGCTTTAAGTGGTTGCGACACATTTTCATTTTACGGGGTTGGAAAAATTAAAACTATCAATCTCCTGCAGGAAATGGTATCAGTTTTCAACAATCCTTTATCCACTCATGATGAAGTTGCAGCCGCTGAAGAGCGTTTCATTCTCACTCTGTACAATGCCCCACAAACTGAACAAATCTCAATCATTACAGATTTCACTCTTTTAACAAATATGTCAGTCACTCAAATAATGCTGTGTTATTATCAAGTCTTCCGCCCACTTCTGCAGCAGTTAGGCAACTTTCTTATCGTGTCTTTCACCAAGTTCAGACTGGATGAGGAGAAACATTTCAGCCTGAGTTGTGGAGCTGGAAAAAAATTGCAATTCTCTGACACCTGTCTCCACAACTGAGGCACCAACCCCCGCAAATATTTTGAAACATATTTCATGTGGCTGCAAATTAGGGTGCGGGAAGCGGCGTGGATGTGTAAAATCTGGATTACCCTGTTCTATAATGTGCATTAATTGTCATGGCCAAAGTTGTCTGAATTCCGAAACTGCAGATGATCCCACTGATGACCTTATTGTGACTAATAAAGAGAACTTTTCAAGTACTTAATGGCATCATCTTAAACTAGAAAAACGTGGAATAGGCCTAATGGGGAAACCGCTATATATAAAAAAAAAACATTCCAAAACTCTACCTCAAAGGTGGTGTGGAGTTGAGTTTGTGTTACAGATTTATTGAAAGAGCCGGAAAAGGCTTTGAAAACTATTTCAAGGAAATATATTTCACTGAACCTATAGAGAAATTTACGCTCTACGCGAGTATAAAATTTTTCACTGCACGTGGAAAATTTCCCAAAAACTAAGAGTTGGATTACACAAAAACTGTAACACCCATGGAAAAATTAATAAAGACAATCGTGTTTAAAATCAAAGTTCCAGTATTTTTGTCTATAAAATATTATCACCTGACGCATAGTTTATCCGGAAAATGCGAAAAAGTAAGTGAACCCCCCCCCCCTTTGGAGGGGCGTTTGGGGCCAAAAGAGGGGGATGCTCCCCCAGACGAAGGGGAACTCTTTTGATATTGATTTCTATAGACTTCTGGAGTATATATGGAAAATTTCATATTCATATAAACTTTTTCCACCAAAAATCCTAATTGACTGCATTATAAAAAGGTGTAACAAAGCTTCCCTCCCTAACAAAGGTGTACTAGAGTTTCTCTGCTAAAAAGAGTTTATTAAAATATCCCTACTCAAAAAAAATAATACAGCTTCCCTGTTAACAAAAATTTACTGAAGCTTCTAAGCTAACAAAACCGTACTAAAGCTTCCCCAGTAACGAGAGTGTACTAAAGGTTCCCCTCTAATAAAAGTGTACTAAAACAGTACTAAAAATTTCCACTAACAAAAATGTAGTAAGATTCTTTACTTCTTTACCAACAAAGTTGCACTAAAGCTTGACTGCTAACAAAATGTGCTTAAAGTTCCCTGCTAAAAAAAGGTATTAAGCTACCCCACTTACAAAAGTACACCAACGCTTAACCAGTAACAAAAGCGTACTAAGGCTATGGTGCAAACAAAATAATGCTAAAGCTTCCCTACTACCAAAAGTGTACTAAAGATTCTCTGCTAACAACAGTGTAGTAAAGAGTCCTTGCTAACAAAAGTGTATTAAAGACTTCCCTTTTAACAAAAATTAACTGAAGATTACCCGCTAAAAAGTGTACTAAAGAGTCCATGCTAACAAAAGTGTATTAATCACCACAATTAACAAAAGTGTACTAA